AACGGACGCACAGCAGGGATCATACATATGCCCGTCCCTCCGTCATTTTTTTTACAAAAAATAAACGGGACGGGCCAAAAAAAAAAACTTTTAAATTCAACAATAGTTTTAATTGAATAGTAAAGCAAGTTCTTTTTTTCAAGACACTTAAATTTCCCAAATAATTTACAAATAAATAAAGAACTTACAAATTAAAGAAGAACTTGAATGAATGAAAATGTACAAATAAATGATCACATAAAGATGCACTCATTGGCAAACAAAATATTCAAAGCTACAACAGTATCAGACGATGCAGCTAAATATGATTGCTCAACAATATCAGTTCTTGCCTTGTCTTTTCTCCTCTTCTTAGCAGCTAATTTTATTTGTTTGCAAACACTTGAAGCGTAACAATCACAAACATAAGATTTATTTTTTTGATTTAGTCATTACCATGGACATTGCATGAAACCCATTAAACTTTAAAAATGCCAATTTCTCGGATAAGTCTCTGAAGTGCATCAGGTAAATGTATAAAAAAATCTGTACACTGGTAGCCAACGAATGTGACATCACATTCGTTTGAACGTGAAAACGGCGATGTCAGTTTGAACGTGACAAACAGAGAAAATTCATACTCAAACGAATGTGACACACCGCACCGCTCTGTCACATTACTTCTGGTGTGACACGAAGTCAGCGGGCAAACTGTCACATTAAAACGAATGAAAACCTTGGTACCCATTGACATACATCGTGTCACATCCAAACGAATGTGACACCCATATGCTGTCACGTTCGTTTGAATGTGACATGCCCAAATTGTCACATTCAACACATTCAAACGAACGTGACAGCATATGGGTTCACATTCGTTTGGATGTGACACGATTAGTCAAGGGGTACCATGTGTCACATTCTTTTTAATGTGACAGTTTGCCTGCTGATTTCGTGTCACACCCGAAGTAATGTGACAAAGGGGTGCGGCGTGTCACATTCATTTGAGTATGAATTTTCTCTGTTTGTCACGTTTAATCTGACATCGTAGTTTTCACGTTCAAACGAATGTGATTCACATTCGTTGGCTACCAGTGCATTGAGTGACTGAAGTTACACGGTGAAAACGGAACCTGGTTTTCCCAGGAACTCCCGGGAAAACGCCTATGTCTCTCCCATAGGCTTCCGGGGAAAAACCAGGTACCGTTTTTACCGTGTAGTGTCTCTGGCCTTCAAAATCTAAGGTTCTGTGGCACTCTCTTCATCAGGCAGATAACAACACTGTTAAAAAAGTTATGAATTTTCAAAGCAATTTTGATGACAATTTTCCGAACACGGATATAAAATTTTACAAACATTGAAATTTTTCATAACTTGATGCGAAAATTCGAAACAATTTCGAAAAATTGACAATTGTTGGTAATTTTAAAACCATGTTCTGAAAATTGCGAATCTTAAATGTTGATTTTGAGCACACAATAGTAATTTTCCGAATCCGATTGTAAAATTTTATAACTAGCTCAAGAGGCGTGGCCAAGGGGCGCTGGTAGAGTCATCAGTAGCTGACCCTCCGCCTCCCGTGGGGCGTGGTAGCACAGCGGTAAAGAGCGTGCACCACAAGTCAAAGATCCCGGGTTCGAAACCGCTGATCAAAAGTAGAATCGGTTCAATAAATGGCATAAGGCCGCATCGGTGTTCATATACATGAAAAATTAGTTGTCCTTTTTTTTAACTGCCCTAAAATGACCTCGCAAACGCGAATATTAATTTTCATAACATGATATGAAATTTTTATATCGTGATTGTAAAACAATTTACAATCATTTGTGATTTTAATTTTCATAACATTGATTGTGAAAAAAAAATGCCAACCAATGTTATGAAAATTACAACTGATTTTTTTAACAGTGAATTGTAGAAGAGATTGAAGTTCCTTAATCTTGAGCATTGCCTGCTTGTGCTCCTGTTTCAGAACAAGAAGTAAAGAAAGCTAAAAACACAAAGTGCTGTATAATATCAATCAATTGATATTAAGATGAAAGGACTCGTTCTTTACTATTATGCAAATGAAAAGTGAATTGTAAAAGATCTACATCACCTCGCTTATCCTGCCCCTGTTCAATGTGTTGAGAGAGGCTCTGCCGCTCTACATTGTGTTTTGAATTCCGCGCCCCCGCTTCGGCACCCCCGGATGGCGGAGCGGCCTGCCGAAGTTCAGCCGAAGCTCATTCAACACGATCTTTAACCCGATATTTCTCCGAATTTTCATTGTGCGTGATAAAAAAAATTCCAGGTTTTATATTTAAATGAATATAGGAGTTCATGTTCGTAATGGTTAATTTAAGGGTACCATTATTGGTGAAAAGATATAAGAGGTTGAAATGAGGTTAGTTTCGACACCGGCCCCAAAATCTCGTTTTTTTCATGTTCGTTTTCTCAAAATTTTTCCCTTGAAAGTCGAAAAAAAATCCGTTTACGATTTACTGACGGACTTCTGCACTTCAAAATGATACCTTGTCTTTTCTGACTGTTTAAGTTCTGAGATGAAAGATATGCTCTGAAAAAAAAATTTTGAGCACAATACTCGTTCTCTTTACAAGGAAGGTGTACGCCAGACCGTGTCTGGTCGTAACATGCTTCGCGATGCTGCGCCAGTTTCGACCATCCACGCCTGGTGTATTCACCTACCTTGGCCTGCGGCGCTAACCTGCCTCCGGCAGGCTGCTTCCCTAGGCAGGCTGTAGAGATGGGCGTGATCCCCTCAAAAAATAGTATTTGGTCATCAAAATCCACACACTCTCAGAAATATTTGTAAATTTACAAAAAAAATCTTGGATGAACTGTATCATATTAATTTAATACAACAATTGTTGTAAAAATACAAATAAATTTTGGATGAACTGTGTCGTAATGTCTCATGTACAATACTTGTCATAAAGTTACAGTACTTTTTGTAAAGATACGAATAAATTTTGGATGAACTGAGTCGTGAAATTTCATGTACAATACTTGTCATAAAGTTACAGTACTTTTTGTAAAGATACGAATAAATTTTGGATGAACTGTGTCGTGAAATTTCATGTACAATACTTGTCATAAAGTTGCAGTACTTGTCATAAAGTTACAGTACTTGTCGTAAAGATACGAACGAATTTTGGATGAACTGTGTCGTGAAATTTCATGTACAATACTTGTCATAAAGTTACAGTACTTGTCGTAAAGAAACAAATAAGTTTTGTATGAACTCAATCAGAACACCAGTGTAGTGTCTCTCTACACTTAGAGTACAACACTTGTTGTAAAGAAACAAATAAATCTTGGATGAACTTTTCATTAAATTAAAAATAAAACAAGTTTCATAAAGATACAAACAAATTCCAAATGACTATTATCATTTAACTGAATTTGACACTCTTGTCGTTTTATTACAAACAATACATACATGAGTATTGCCATCAAGATTTAATTACAACATGTGTTGTGTTTTTACGATCAAGGCCCATGCAGAATGCGCCCAAACATTGAGTTCATGACAGGTATTGATAATTTACAAGTCAGGTCTAGACAAAAACAAATCGTCAATTAGAAATTCCAGCATTTATAGTAAAAATACGAATAAAATCTTCCCAAAATGTTCCAGCAAGTTAAGGGCCTCCCACTGGACAAAGATTTACAACAAAAGCCAACACAGAATTGGTCATCAAATTGAGAATACGACAAGAATCATTAACATACAATTTAGGTCTAGACAAAAATAAATCGTTATTTTGAAATTCCATCATTTGATGTAAAAATACGAATAAAATCTTCCCAAAATGTACCAGCAATAAAGAGCCTTCCACTGGACAAATATTTACAACAAAAGCCACCACAGATTTGGTCATCAAATTGTGAATACGACAGGAATCGTTAATATACAATTTAGGTCTAGACAAAAATAAATCGTTATTTTGAAATTACAGCATTTGATGGAAAAATACGGATAAATTCTTCCCAAAATCTATAAGTTAAAGTTCTCCCACTATACAAAGATATTCAAAGAAAGCCTGCACAGAATTGGACATCAATCATGACAAGACTCGTTTATTTATGAGTCAACTTAACACCAGAAACATCTGATGTTAGCTGACAAGCAGTGGACTCCAAGTTGGTGGTTTTAAAAAGAGGCATCAATGTTTTCTTCGAAACATTTGAAGGAAAGAAGGTCATCATTCTACTGGACACACGCTATTGCAGTCCACATACTTACGGATCTGTCCAAAAATTGACTGGATCTGGGGACCAAAAGTGAGTGGTTTTTCTGCACCATGGTGTCGAAGTTGTCACTCCACACAAGCCGATCTAATTTCACTGAGATGTTAACGTTTTATGAAAGAACTTTGATAGATAGACTGCTGAACAACACTTGCAACGCAACCGTCGCGACATTATGACAACGAGAACAGAATTTCTCCAACCAAAATATTTGTTGTCGCGGGCTTGGTCGAGGGCGCCCTAACCTTGCATTGAGTGCGAATACACTTGTTGCTATTCGCAAGCAGGGGAGGAGGGAGCAGGAGGGAGGCGCGGGGAGGGGAAGGGTCCCCCCCATTTCTGCAGAAAGTTTTGTTTACTTTCACTTCGTTTCGTCGCTTCGAAGCAGAAGATGTGAGTCTAGCTTTGGGTTTTTCTAATTCTAGAGCTGTCCGATTCTTACAAAAAGAATATATTCAGTTCTCGATTTCGATTTTGCCTTTGCATGCGTGCGTTTCATTCTTTATCATTTTGATAGTTTTTTTTTTTTGGAAAATAATATTTTGTTGAACTTTAATTAATCGTGGCTTTTGTCTGACCTAACCATGACCTAACCCGCTGGCTGAAAATACTCTTTGGCTTTGACAGCTTGTCTGTGTGGTTTTGTTTATATTTTTATTGCTTTCTTAGGTTTTATTTTATGTTGTTGTTCAGATTTTAAAAGAGGATTCACATGGTTTTTTTCTGTTTTCTTATATTTTCCTTTTTGTTGCTGCTCAGGTGCCCAAGGATGATTTCGATGCTGGAAGGTTTTTGGAGAGGAAGTGCAACGGGTGAATAGGCTGTACTGCTGCTGGATAAGCATGGAGGCACCATTCAAGAAACAGGGCCAGTCTTTAGGGGTAAGTTGTAGCCCAGTGCAAAGATCATGACATCCATTTGACCAGGATTTCAAACTCAGTTCTTCATACTTAGTCAAAATAACTGGTTGAGGGATGGCTCTAAATCAAGTTATCAGTCCCATAAGATACACTTTTCTTGCCCTGTCCTTTTTTCCCCTAATTCACCCCTAGGATCATTGTTGTTGTGAGAGATACAAGAGTGCGTTTACCAATGTTAAGCTGGTAGATTGTCACCTAAACATGCAATCAGTCCAGCCAAATTAATGACTTAAGAGAATTTTCCTCCATAACTGTTATATTTTACCAATTATTGAAATTCTTTATTCACATCTAAAACTCATTTAATTTGTGATCAATTTGTTTTGTTACATTAGTTTTACTGTTAGCAGTCTTGGCTGTCCTGCTCGAGTTTTAGTCATTATCTTTGCTCATGTTGTAATGATAGGTTATTCTATATTGTTTCAGTTCTCGTGCTGGAAGGTGACTAGAGAGCACTCTCAAATTGAGCTCGGTTTGTTCTCGAGGTCTCTTATCTGCCATGGCCTGTTCTCATCACTTTAGGGAACTTCTGTCTCTCTGCCTTCATCTGCATTTTGTCATCATGGCAATGCTCCAAGACTCAGCATCATTTTCATGTAAGCTTGTTTGTGCAAACATAATTTATTTCAAAACACTAACTTTTTATTTTTTATGTAATTGACCTTATGTGATAATTTTAATTTTTGTCTGTCCCCTCTCTGATGACAAGTTCAAAATCCTTATTGGTGTGTCATCAAGCAAACTGTACGCTTTGTGAATGACGGTTGTTTTGTTTTCAGGTTTTATCTTCATCAGTCAAAAGAAGTCTGTTTTTACGAGGAAATGCTCAAGATAAAATTTTGAGAGGACCCTGAGGCTGTTCTCCTAGACCCTACCAGAAATATCACCGCTGCTTATGCAATGATAATACAGAATCCATTATCACTGCGCATGGATTTGCTACTCATCTTTGACTCCATGTTCAACTAAATGTGAATTAGCTGTTGCTGGGAACAAACTTTTATTAGCCTTTCACCCACTATTGTTATCCATTCTTTCATGTCGCACAACTTCTCTGGAGATAAATTGCTTCCATAGCGTTTGTTTGTCTATTGCTGTTTAGTTTGACCGTTTTTCTTGTTTCTCTGAAAGATCAGTAAACCAACTTGCTCTTTAAAGTTCTCTTTGCATCTATTTTCCCATTGCCCTACCATAGGCTTTTGTTTCTCTGAGTCTTAAGTAAATGAATAAAAAAAAATATATTCTATCAAGTTTTAGGATGGTATCATCCATACTTTTTTTTTTTTGAAGTGAACTTCTTTCAAATTTAGACTCCATTAAGTGAGCTATGAAGCCTGTGTTTGTTATGCATGGTTATGTGAATAAGATATCAGAGGTAGAAATCAAATAGTCAAATAGGCTTGATTTTGAGGTATGATTATTCTGCTATCAAACAGACTATTAACCCTTTCACAACTAAGGTAAATTAGGCAAGTGTTCACAAAGAAATACAGTTTTCACTAGAAATATAATTATAGGTCTCTTCCTCAGAAAGACAAAACAAAATAAATTAAACAAAGAAAGAAAATCAATTTTTATGATAAATATTTAGCAAAAACAGTGATACTTCTATTCAGAGTCCTCATCACTGCTGCTGCTTTCAGCACGGAAATCATCATACTTCTCGTTGAATTGAGTAAGTATGTGGTGCACCATCTTGGTGCTGGTCCTCCCACCAGAGGCCTTGGCTGGCCGCTTGTTGCCCCGCTGCGGATTGATTTCAGCAACCACTCTATAATGAGAAGAAAAGGGTTTAAGGTGGTTTGTGTTCCTTCTGAAAAAATAATAAAAATGTAATAAGATTTACCTTTGCAAAAATTCTAACGTGATCTGTGCTTCAGCAGCAAACTCCAGATTGAACACGAAGTATGATGCAAGCAGCATGGCAATTCCTTCAACAAATCCAGTCGCTGTGCCTAGCAGTTGGCCGTCCATACTAAAATAAACTGTCTTGTCAGTGAAAATCCCCTGACAAACTGAGGGCCAGGTCAACTCGGGGGTAACTCGGGGGTAACTCAGGGGTAACTCGGGGGTAACTGGGGGGTAACTCAAGGGGAAGTCGGGGGGAAGTCGGGGGGAACTCGGGGGGAATCGGGGGGAACTGGGGGGGAAGTCGGGGGGAACTCAGGGGCAAGTCGGGGGAAACTCGGGGGGAACTCGGGGGAACTCGGGGGGAACTCGGGGGCAAGTCGGGGGGAACTCGGGGGTAACTCGGGGGCAAGTCGGGGGGAACTTGATCGACTCGCCCAAACACTAGAAATACGCTCCAAACTAGCACCGTTGCCTTTGTCTCGTTGCCCCGATTCTAAAAGTGCCCCTACTTGCCCCTCTAGCTCAGCGGTTCCCAACCTTGGGGTCGCGACCCCAAATGGGGTCGCAAAAAAATTTTTGAGGGGTCGCGGCGAGGTGGCTGGGGTCGCCGGGGGTCGCTGTGGTTTCCCGGCTGGCCCACACGCCGAGCACTGGCTGCTTAAATGCCGCAAAGTTGATCAAAACGGTCCCAAATGTGTGTAAAAATCGTGTTTTGGGTCGACTTTAAGCATCCACTGCTTCTGATCCGAGGCGGTAAATCGCCCTCCCTCAACGGGCAATTGGTCTTTGGACCTTCCTTTTGCATGCCTTTGTTACGGAGTGCGATTATCTGCCTTAGTTTGGGAGCAGTTTTGCCGCAAAGTTGATCAAAACGGTCACAAATGTCTGAAAAATCGTGTTTTGGGCCGACTTTAAGCATCCACTGCGTCTGATCCGAGGCGGTAAATCGTCCTCCGTCAACGGGCAATTGGTCTTTAGACCTTCCTTTAGCATGCCTTTGTTACGGAGTGCGATTATTTGCCTTAGTTTGGGAGCAGTTTTGCCACAAAGTTGATCAAAACACGATTTTTCAGACATTTCTGACCGTTTTGATCAACTTTGCGGCAAAACTGCTCCCAAACTAAGGCAGATAATCGCACTCCGTAACAAAGGCATGCTAAAGAAAGGTCTAAAGACCAATTGCCCGTTGACGGAGGACGATTTACCGCCTCGGATCAGACGCAGTGGATGCTTAAAGTCGGCCCAAAACACGATTTTTCACAGACATTTGTGACTGTTTAGACCAACTTTGCGGCAGTACTGCTTCCAAACTGAGGCAGATAATTGCACTCCGTAACAAAGGCATGCAAAAGGAAGGTCCAAAGGCCAATTGCCCGTTGAGGGAGGGCGATTTACCGCCTCGGATCAGAAGCAGTGGATGCTTAAAGTCGACCCAAAACACGATCTTTTACACACATTTGTGACCGTTTTGATCAACTTTGCGGCATTTAAGCAGCCAGTGCTCGGCGTGTGGGCCAGCCGGGAAACCACCGCGACCCCAGGCGACCCCAGCCACCTCGCCGCGACCCCTCAAAATTTTTTCGCGACCCCATTTGGGGTCGCGACCCCAAGGTTGGGAACCGCTGAGCTAGAGGGCAAGTAGGGGCACTTTTAGAATCGGGGCAACGAGACAAAAGGGAACGGTGCTAGTTTGGAGCGTATTTCTAGTGTTTGGGCGAGTCGATCAAGTTCCCCCCGACTTGCCCCCGAGTTACCCCTGAGTTCCCCCCGACTTGCCCCCGAGTTCCCCCCGAGTTCCCCCCGAGTTTCCCCCGACTTGCCCCTGAGTTCCCCCCGACTTCCCCCCGAGTTCCCCCCGACTTCCCCCCGACTTCCCCCCGAGTTCCCCCCGAGTTCCCCCCGACTTCCCCTTTAGTTACCCCCCAGTTACCCCCCAGTTACCCCTGAGTTACCCCCGAGTTACCCCCGAGTTGACCTGGCCCTCAGTTTGTCAGGGGATGGTGGTGCCTGAAGTCAAGAGTAATTTTTGAAAAATAAACTGTCTATTACAAACAAAATACTACTAGCCAAAAAGGTGTTTTCATGAAGTAAATACCAACCTTGTATTATTAAGCATGGTGTGCGGGGCAGTTCTACATGTGCTGAGATTTCACTTTCTTCAACATGTTCCTGTGCATATGAAACAAGAATAAGTAAACATTCTGATAAATTCTTCTGCTGATGAAAATAATTAACACACAAAAATTAAAAAGTAAAAACTTACATCAACCATCAACCACAGTGCCTTCTTATTTTCCTTAAAGCGTTGAATCAGAAGCAGCATGGCTGCTGCAAAGACTGGCACAGTGGAATCCTGACCCAATTCTTCGATTGCACGATCCATGTTCTTCTTTACAGACTTCTTCTTTTTGTCACTATTGGTTGCTAGCAGGAAATCAACAATTTTTTCCAACTTGGAATCCATGAAAGTTTCAAACTTCTCCTCTAGATTTATATCTGTTAATTTTGTAAAGTGCATCAGCATTCCAGAAGGTACAAATAGAAAAGGCCACCGGTCTCGTAGATCTGATGTGGTTGTGACTACTACTTGTGCCTGCTGTCCAGGGGGAACTTGTTGTTGGTTCTGATTTCCCTTATTCTTATTCCTTCTGAGCGCTTTCTGAGCTTTCAATATTTCTTCTGCCTGCCGATTGATTTCTGCTCTTTGCTGACCGAAGAGTTGGTCCATCTCCCCATTGATATACGTCCAGTCCCAGGCATTCTGGCGATGACTTTCAAAATAGTTCTCGAGTGCTATCCTCTTCTCCTCTAGAGTCTCCTCCGTTTCACCTGCAGGTAAGTCTACAACACGCCACCTCAAGCAGCCATATGCTGCTTTGATAGAAGGGGCTTGTTGTTCTGTAGTAGTCCGACGAATGGGCCTTCGGTCATTGTCGAACTTTGTCTTCATTTTGAACGACAAAGTTTTCTTGACTACTCTTCCTTTGGCAAGCTCACTTTGAAATGTGATAGAATGTTTATCATGAAGTTGTTGAGCCACTTTATCAAAGACATCTCTAGAGGCATTAGGCACTTGGTCCCGTACTTGCTGAACTATTCTGCCAATGATTTGTTTCTTTTCCCTTCTCTTCAGTTTCTTTCCTTGGATCATTTTCTTCTTGATATCCTTGTTAATAGCATAAATGTCTTGCCAATTAATTCGGAACTTGTCCTTATCATCATCTGTTGTTCCTTCAACTATGACTCGAGGTCTCCTGTTTTCTTTGTCCTGACCTGCAATAACAGAAGATATTGTAATATAAATTCATTCAATCGTTATATCAGTTCTTTCAAGTAAGAGAGTATGGGGGATGAGCAATAGTCCGAGGCGTTTTCATAACTCAAAACATGTTTGCCAATGTTCATTGGGAGGCAGAAAGGACCGCGTAGATACCCCGCGCCGCCAGGGAGTGGAGTGTCTTGTTGACGGAGTATTGACAGAACAAGACAGGTTCTTTCACCACCACGGCATGAAGGATGTTGTACTAAATAAAATACCGTGCCCAAACTGGGAAATTTAGGCTTGCTACTGACAATGCGGCAGCGCGCGGACAAAATACGAAACAACAAAGCCGGTCCAGGAGCTTGGGTGAAATGGCGCCATAATGGTCAGTTGCGTGTCCCCCTAAGAGGTAGTAAGGAGTATCATGCGCAACCAAAGGAAAAGTAGGAGTACCAAAACTCAGCAAATAAGTTAAAAAACGGACAGCTTGTAGTCTTACCTCCACTAGAGCCTTCGCCCCCCTTCCAGACTTCCAAAAGTTGACGGGCTTCGAAAGGCGACAGCAGATCACCGAGGTCAGTTTCCTTCACATATGCGAGATGGTCTAACCTTCTTAGTTTCAAATCGTACAAGTGTTCAGCAACTTCTTTAGCTTTCTGTGGAGTAACTTGAATGATTCTCTGGATGTCAGTCGATATGGATTGAATAAGTTGGATATCAATTCCCTCTTCACTAGTGGACGCCATGTTGCCTCTCTTCCCGCTCTCGCTCTGCTCAACAACTGCTTCAAATCGACGGTCAACTGTCCGCCGCGACGGCGACAGGGGTCACGTGACCAACCAGACAACTGGAAAAAAATAGTTCTTACTAACTTCGATATTACATTTAGCAGATAAGAAACGACGAGGGAATATCGCAAAGGAAAATTAAATTAACTTAAGACATTTCATTTTGAAGTTAAATTATTTAGCACGGAAAAGTTTTCCTTTTTCGGCTGTCATCTGACGGACGTTCAACAGGTGGCAAGAAGGGGGCGGAGTGTTTCATTTCCTTCTCCCCGCCAATCTTCCGCACGCTGAGCCGGATGTTTCGTGCCAAAATCCTATTGTATCGAATCTTCCTAGACTTGTTTGACAGGAGTTGTCTGTTGTTTGAGTTCATGAAAGCCTTCTATCCGTGAAAAGCATCGGGCTGCAACGAATTCTTTTATCCTTGTCATTACATCAGCTAAATTTTTCCGCAATGTAGTAGTTCAGTGGTTAAGTGACTGTGTAAGTTGTAGGCGTTCGTAGTTAAGCTTCGAGGAGCAGAGCAAGGACTGAAGGCAAAATTAAAAATGAAGTCATTTAAACAGTTTTAATGGCCCATCCATCTGCAGTGGACGGTTGAATAGAGAGAGGAGTTCATAGTTTTCACCAAACTTTGGGTGTCAAATTCATTGTTATTATGTCTGACTGGGAAGTTAACCTCACGTAACCAGACTTCCAGTGTAGCAAGAAGCCTTTGATCAGAATGTTTCAATTGACGTCTGCCGTTTCTTGAGCAGTTCAAATGTTAAAAATTTTAAATAATTATGTCCTGTTTTGTTCCAGGTTGTTCTTCTTGTACTTCTCTTGGGAGCGACTCATTCGCAATCCCTCTTGTTTTGGTAAGTTTCACAGGTCTCTTTCATTTTTACAAACTCTCAGTGTTATTTGTTATTTTATGTGTGCAGTGCCAAATACAGGTACACTGTCCATAACTTTTTATTCCTCTATTTTTTCCAGGCTAACTACTATTTGGACATTTTCAATTTTTAATTTGTCAAGGTGCTTAGTGATACTGGAAAGGAAGTCAATATCTGTGGTATGGATTACAGATTTTTTTACATAAGTTACCAGTCCAAGGTGCAATCTCTTTCTATTTATATGTATTAATTTTTCATCTTCTTGTTTTGTTTTAGGGTCGCCTATACAAATGCTTTGTCTGGAATTCACTTGTACTTGTGTACAGTACCAGCAATTATGGATCTCTATTTGAAAAGATGTCTTGCTGCGCACGCAGTTTAACTCTATCATTGGTTAGTACCTTCCCTAAATTAATATGGGTTTGATTTTCATACTTTAGTTTTTGGTTTTCTCAATGAGCTGAAATTATATCAGCTGTCTATGTTGACAATGTAGTAAGAAACATAAATTTTGTTGTTCCAGATCGTACTTCTCTGGTGACCTCACTTGTTTATAACTTTTGGAAAAAGAAACTCTCTTGTTGTGGTACAGTACTAATTTGAATGTTTTTTTGATCATGTGTTTATACTATCTTACCTTTCATTAATTAAACTGTAATTTTTTTCAGACAAAATCTTGACTAAAGATGGGTGTGTCAATTGAAACCTGGAGAGCTAGGATAGGTTCATTTCATGGCAGAAGCCGTGTGATGTCTTTCTCGCCAGTGGTTCCCTCTCTCCATGCGCAGCTTCTTTGTGCATTGCACTTTCTGGTGTTTTTAATCCTGCTAGTGATTGGAAACATTGAGTTAAACCCTGGACCTGGAAACACCTACAGTTGTTCTTACTGCAATTTCAAAGCAGTTACAACGGGAGAACATCTTACTCATCAGAGGAAACATGAACTTCAGTTTAACTTCAGATATCGATGTCCTTTGCCAACATGCAGTTTTGTGTTCAACTCATTTGATAGCGCAAGTGCCCATGTTTCGAATCATAGCATTTCAAGGCATCATGTAATTGGGCAAACCTCAAGCATTCAGTGTGCACATTGTGAAAAGAGAATTCCAAACAACAAGGAATTATGTGATCATGTGAGGAATGAACACATAAAACTTGGTCAACAAGTTGTGTGCCCTCTTCCGGACTGCTCGAGAACTAAACCATTTGCTACAGTGCAAATTTTCTCCAACCATCTAAGTCTGTACCATCCAGGATGGAAGTCGGACTTTTCAACTTCTGCAGCATCTAACAACCCTGTTCGTGAACCTCCGCCTCTTCCTCCTCCCTTTGATGAAAACTTAATGGACTTTGATCAAGGTGGAATGGACCCTGACCCTGGTGAAGGCAATCCCGTTGGGTTAGGGGACGATAATTCTTCTAATTCTTCTGATTCTTCTCGTGTTGAGGTGAATGTTGATGGTGATGATATAGTGATGAACTTTGCTCATTTGTATGCATTTTTGGAAGGCGATCGCCTTGTGCCATCCTTAACAGTGGATTTACTCGCTCAAAAGTTATCTCGCATATCAGAAGATCTACAGGAAAATTTAAGGGCTGAGCTCAACAAGCAACTGACATCTGTGGCTCTATCAGAAGATGACATTCAAAATATAACCACAGCAGTAACATCAAAGGATCCACTGTACAATATACATCACAAAACTGCTGCAGGTGTGTACCTTGGAACAAAACATCTCAGAAGAACCTTCTATAAGAAGCATTTTAAGCTTCTTGAAGCAATTGAAATAAACCTGAACAGAAATCCGAATGATAGAGAAGCTCTCGTGCATTATGTTGACATCAAAGATACTTTAAAAGTTTTGTTGGAGGATCCAACTGTTCAAAGGGAAGTAGAAGAGTCTTTTGAAAGGAGGCGATTGCCTGCTGGCCCTGTAATTAGTGACTACACATCTGGCAGTGTTTTTCTGAGCGGTGACAACCCAGTGAAAGCAATCGATTTACTTTTGTTTATGGACGCCTTTGGATGTGCAAATCCTCTTGGCTCTGCAAAAAACAGGAAGGAGTACAAAATAAGTGGCATGTACATGACTTTGGGAAACTTCAAGCCCCATCTACGCGCCTACTTGAAGTCAATGCGCTTAGTTATGTTGTTTCAAGATGCTTTGTTGAAAACTAAATCCATGTACAAAAGATGTTTCAAACGACTGCTACAAGATCTCAAATTTCTAGAACTGAATGGCATTGACTTTAAAGGTGAAAAAATTGCATTTAGACTCCAGTTTGTGCAAGGAGACAACCTGGGTCAACACATAATTGGTGGATTCATTGAAGGCTTCTCTGGCCACTACTTCTGCAGATTCTGTGAAATTACCAAGGCCATGTTTCATGAAGACAGAGAAAAGAGAAGGCCAGTTTTCCGCTGTGGCGTTTGGAGAACCCATGAGTCATTCTGCCGAGATCTAAACTTGAAAAATCAGACTGGATGCAAATACTATCGTGGGGTCTACAGACCATCACCATTGAACAAATTGACTCATTTTAAAGTTTGTGACCCTAGGTTAGCACCCTGTATTGCGCATGATCTTTTCCTTGGTGGTGTTGTGGATGTTGATTTGGCAGCTATGCTGAAGTATTTTGAGGAGAATGGAGTCTTTGAATATAAGAAACTGAACAGGAAAATAAAAAAGTTTGTCTTTGAAGGAGTCGATCAAAAGAACCGGCCAGCTCAACTCAACCAGTCAGGATTGAAGCTAGGAGGCCATGCGGTGCAAAATTGGACTTTACTTCGGGTTCTGCCCTTTTTGATTGGAGACATGGTAAATCCTCGGAATAAGATTTGGAAACTTTACCTATTGTTGAAAAACATCTGCGAGTACATTTCTGCTCCAGCCTTGTCGCCTGAGCAAATTGAACATATGAGAAAACTGCAGAACAAGTATATGTTGAAAAGGAGAAGACTTCCAAACAAGTGTAAGCCAAAGCATCACTTTTTCCTGCACATTCCTGATTTATTCTATAGATTTGGAGCCCTAATATATCATTGGACTATGGGCTTTGAGCATAAACACCAATTCTTTAAAAGAGTTGCAAAAGTTTGCAAAAATTTCATCAACCTAGGAGTCACTCTTGCTAAAAAACATCAACTGTTGCAAGCTTACCTCAACACTGGAAACCTATTCCCACAGAATCCTGTGGTCTCAGGAGATCAACCTCTTCTCCCAGAAAATTATGAAGCCGGCCTGCAGGCCTTCATCAGAGAGTGTAACTTTTCAGAAAGAGCTTTATCTGTGAAAAAGCTTACATTTTCTGAAATCAAGTACAAAGCTGGCAATTGGATACTGCTAGGAAAAGTCCCAAATAACAATGACCTGTATTTGGGTAAAGTGGAGATTCTAGTCTGTGATGGTGATGAATGTAAGGCTGTTGTGTCAAAACATGAAGCTAAGCTGTGGACAGAATATGGTGTTTATGTCATTTCCAAGGATGCTGTTGAAAGAAATGTCATCTCCTTTGAAGGCCTTGTGACACCAACCCCACAACCAGTGTACAAGTTCATGGATGAACTGTGTTTCTCTCTCAAACATGTGCTTCTGCACATGATGTAGTCTGCCAGGTATGATTTCTCTTTAAATGCCTTCTACAATTTAAAAAAAAAGTTCAATAATACATAGTTGTTTTTTATTGCAGGCTTATTACACAGTTGCTGCATTCAACATCAATCAGTTTACAGCAATATTATAAGTAATGGTTTTGACTAATTCCGCCTTGATTTCTGGTAAGCTTTCTTAGTATCAATACTTGGTTGTTTTTCTTTCCACTTTTCTGTGTCTAATTTGTTCTTCTGTTCCAGCTTACTACAAGTGTACATTTTTAATTTCTTTAAAACTATTATTATTTGATTCTTTAGAAGAAGTTTCTTCTCCAATAACTTCACAGACAATAAATTGAACCCCATAACCAGTGTACAAGTTCATGGATGAACTTTGTTTCTCTCTCAAAGATGTGCTTCTGCACATGATGTAGTCTGCCAGGTATGATTTCTCTTTAAATGCCTTCTACAATTTAAAAAAAAGGTTCAATAATATATAGTTGTTTTTTATTGCAGGCTTATTACACAGTTGCTGCATTTAACATCAATCAATTTACAGCAATGTTATAAGTAATGGTTTTGACTAATTCCGCCTTGATTTCTGGTAAGCTTTCTTAGTTTCAATACTTGGTTGTTTTTCTTTCCACTTTTCCGTGTCTAATTTGTTCTTTTGTTTCAGCTGACTACAAGTGTACATTTTTAATTTCTATAAAATATTATTTGTTTCTTCAGAAGAAGTTTCTTCTCCAATAACTTCACAGGCAATGAATTGAACCTGTTTGACCGCAAAATTACAATAAAGACATGAAAGATTGTAGTCCAGGTAACATCTTGCACAAAAACTTATTATTCTTGTAATTTAAATTTAGTGAAAAACCATTGATCTATATTGAAATTTATCTTCTTCTTTTTTCAAGAACTGAACAATATTTTGCTTGTACCATACATAACAGCATTTGTAAGGAAGTAATAGATGATTCACGATTCCCTAGTATTCATACTTCACTACCGGTAAGCTTTCTTAGTTTTTTCCATTAGTAGTAGTACTCTTTCTCTTTTTCTGTATCTAATGTGTTCTTTTGTTCCAGCTTTCTACACATGCTCATTTTTCATTTCTATCAGCAGTGTTTGACTCTTTAGAAGAAGTGTTTGTTCTCCATCAACTTCACAGGACAAATTGACTGTGTTTGACAGCAAAATTTCAACACAGGCAACAAAGTTTTGACAGCAAAATTACCATGAAGGGAACAACGATTGTAGTCCAGGTAACATCTTAAAAATAAGCTTTCAAAGTTTCAATAGTTCTTTTGCTCATCTTTTGTCTTGTATCTTATTTGTTCGTTTGTTTTTTGTTTTTGTTTTTTCAGTTTGCTGTGAGTTGATTTTTTTTTCAGTTCTGTAGTCACTGGAGTTGAACTGTTTTGAGGAGTTGCCTCTTTCCTATGGATATCATTTTGATAACGGTAATGATATACATCTGACTGGAAAACTGTGATATTCTAGACAGTTACTATGAGCAGCTAGTTAAATTTTATTCATTTTGTTATAATAGCCTGTTATTTACTCTGTTTCAGTTGGTTACTAGTGCAGGCACTTCAAAGTGATAATTAAAGCCAAGCGGTGCATGGCCTGGCTTTGATTTTAATTCTATAACTTCAACAGTGAAATACAGGTAATGTTCTTCTTGATAGTTTTATTTTTAACATTTATGATTTAGTACATATTTTCTAACATACGGTCATCTTCTTGGCAGGAGGAGAAGAATGAGAGCTGCAGCAGGAAGGGAAGCAAACACGCAAACATAAGTACATCATCAAAGCAGCAAGAAGACTCCAAGGAGTTATGGTGAGGTGCAGTCCAGCAATTCAAGAGCAGCAGTAGGAAGACAAGCCATCATGCAATCATCGGCGCAGCATCAAAGCAGCAAGAAGACTCCAAGTTGCGGTGAGGTGCCAGTGCAGCGATTCATCAGGTGGGCTCACAACAAGCAGCAAGCTAGAACACATGCATGGTTAAGTTAATAAGCAAGTCATTATAAACATTTTAATTCTGAAGGTTTTACATAGTGTTGTTGTAAAACTACGGCAATTTTAATCAAATTAAACAACTTTTGTCCTAGTGTACGCATTCGTGTATTGATTCAAACATTAACAACTTTTATCGTAAAATTACACCCTTCCTACTCAAATAACGAATTTGGTCGTATTCTGAGCAGGCATTTATGCTACCCATACAAATCTGATACTTTCTCTAGTTTACAACTTTTGTTGTAAAATAACAACACTTGTACTCAAATAACGATTGTTGTCGTATTCTGTGGAGGCATACATGAAACAAAAACTGCCCAGAAACTTTTAATATTTTACAACTTTTGTTGTAAAGTAACAACACTTGTACTCAAATAATGATAATTGTCGTATCCTGTGGAGGCATACATGAGGCAAAAACAACCCAGAAACTTTTAATATTTTACAACTTGTGTTGTAAAGCAACAACACTTCTACTCAAATAATAACTTTAATCGTCTTGTCTTCTGGCATATGAGCAATGAAGTCAACCAGAAAACAGTTCAACGCTTCACAATTTTTGTTGTACAATTACGACAATTTTACTCAAAGAACGGTTATTGTCTTCCACTAAGCAGGTCTCCATTGGTCCAGACAGCATCCAGACTTGGTTTGGTTTTCATCGTAAAATTACAAACATGACTTGTAAAAAAACAAAGTGTCGTAATTTAAAATTACGAAGGGTTTGTGATAGAAAATTTGCAGAGGTTTTGTCGTCATTTTACAAAAAAATTTCTCAGAGTGCAAACAAACAGCTGCGAGGCACCGCCTGCTCGCAATCGGCACTCTGACGCCTCAGAAATAGTCGGGTCCACAAACCTGCAACAGGAGAATCAAGCATAGTCGAACCGGCCATGGGAAACACCGCCTCCTACGACGAACCGGAACAACCGGCCCCCCATCTTTTCCTTGCCCGCCATCTTATATCAAAGTCAAACTTGAATCTAGACCCAACTCAGCTACTAAATCGGAAAACATCTGCAAAAAAGGCCCCCAGAACTTGGATTGCTCGGAAAAGGGAAACCCAAAGAAAAGGGGCCCCACCCACGAATTGAAGGATGGGAAAAGGGAAAGAAAACTTACCAAAAACCCAAAACCCCGCCACCACAAAGAATGGGTCAGGGAATCGCCACTTCAGCCAAAGGACACTCTCACAACGGATACGGATCGGATTACGCCACTGAAACAGAATAACAAGCAAATTAAACAAACCAAAACATCACCACTAGCAAAACTATTTGAGAGAGAGGAAGAGAAAGAAAGAAAAGCAAGACAAAGACAACACCAAGAGCTGCTTAGAAGGAAAAAGCGAGACGCAGAATTTAGGAGAGAGCAACTTGAACAGAGAGAAAAGATCAGAAAACAGAAAATTCAAGCTCAACGAGAAAGAGAAGCCAGAGAAAGAAAAGAATACGCAGAAAAACTAAAAAAAAAAAGGAAGCTTTAAGCTGGTTTGAGGACCCAGGATACACAAATTTACTAGGAGCATGGGACTCAACTTCGGAATCAGAAATTGAAGTTATAGATTTAGAAGAAAACGATTCGGACATTGAGGAGATCTACTGCACAAGTCCAAAAATAATAAAAACCAATGAAAGGGATCCAGAGTGTGTAAAGCAAATGTTGGAATGTATGAGAGCCCAAGAGAAAGAAATGATGCGAGAAATAATGACAATGGAACTCCAGATAAAAGCTATAGAAAAAGTAAACCCACCACAACAAAGATTGCAGGAAGAACAGCCCAAGCCGGTGCCCAACAACACCATCCCATCGGAAATAGTGCCAGAAAGTACAGCAACTCAGAACCAGCCGAGCCCTCCAAAAACAAGCCTCGACAAAGAAGTGCGGACACTGCAACAGAGAGAAAGGATTGAAAACGACCAACAAATTAAACAAGACATGATGAAAAAGAGAGGAAAGACAAAGAAAACAAGGTGCAACAAATGCAGACAGAGAGATCACGTCAGCAGTAATTGTCCAAAACCAACCCCGATATAAAAAGAATACAAACCTTAAACAAGAAGCAAGGAACTTAAACAGCAGTCCAATAAGTCTTGTCCCAGAGCAAAGAAGTAAACTGCTTCGACAGCAGCTCAGCCAAGACCAGAAGAAAAACAGCATCAAACCTGAAACAAAGTAAATAATTTAAAAAAAATAAATAACAACAACAATAATATACAACAACAACTGAGCAAGGGAGCGTCAACTGGGCCCTCATAGTCAACATAATACCAACCAAAAGAAAGACAAAAGTAAAAGAAGAGTGACACTCACCAGAAAATAAACAAGTCCGAACACTCAGGTCAAACTCAAACATGCAGAAATAAAAAAAAATATATGATTTGAAAGAAAATGGTAAAAAGAAAAGAGACAAATGAGAAGGCAGGCAATCAAAGGTTAATGGACATGCCCATGCAAGTTTAGTGATTCAAGCACTTTACATAACAAATAGAAACCAAGGCACAGTAACAAGTGCAAGATTACAGCACTTTACATAACAAACAGGAATCAAGGCACAGTAACAAGTGCAAAGTTAATACATAACTACAAGTTAGTCATCCGAGCGTGAAACTAATACACAACTACAAATCAATCATCAGGCTCGTCATCATCAGAATCCGAACCAGAGTCTGGGTATTCAAATCCACATTCGAAGCAACTGGCCAAAGAGAACTTAGGGTCCTTAAACTGCATTATGCCAGCTTGGCGTTCTTCGTAATCCAATGGAAAACGAAAGAGTTTGATTCCCCTTGGGGGAATGGGGACATCGTCGACATCAGAATCATCGTCATCAAGGAGCTCCACATCAAGATTTAAAGCCGCCTCCTCGGCCGCAGCAGCAAGGCAAGCCCTCCGGGCATCTCGATAACCCCGTTCGAGCTCCAACTACAAGGGCGGGAATAAAAGGAAAATACAAATAATGTCACGACATATGCCAAGTAAACCACCCGCCAAACCCACTAACGTTACAATATATGCCAAGTAAGCCACCCACCCAACCCACTCACCTCAGACACGGGCACATCAACAAGGGGCAAAGGGTCCATGGTTGCGAGGGGAGCACCAGTGGCTGGGCCAACGCCAGGCCCCAGCCAAACAAATTCCTCCTCAAAAGAAGGAAGCAGATAGGGGTGCACTTCAGCCCCATCCCCAAAAGCACCCTCGGGCTCAGGGTCAGGAAAGCCCAAGAACCCAGCATTAGGGTCAGGAAAGCCCAAGAACCCAGCATCAGGGTCAGGAAAGCCCAAGAATCCAGCACCAAGGTCAGGAAGACCCCAGAACTCAGCGTCCGGATCAAGAAAGCCCAGAAACCCTGGTTCGAGCCCAAACCCAGGCACAGGCACCAACTGTACCCAGTCGGCAGGTGCAAGATCAAGCCAAGGCTCAGGCGCAAACCCAAACCAAGGGTCATCCAAAGGGCCCAGGAAGTCAGGGACCCCAGGGCCAAACTCGAGAGGAACTTCCAGCTCGGGCAGGGGCACGGGCACGAAGTCATAGAGATCTTCTCCGGGAGCATGGTCTAGGGCCAGAAGCGGGTGATCGGGAGGCAGTACATGGTACAGGACTTCGGGCTCCAAGGGTGGGTGAGGAACCGGGGGAACAGGAATCTCCTCCTTAAAAGGAGACACGGAATTTAAATAAAAAGAATAATAGCCTACAAGAATAACCCAGACCAAACCAAGTTACGAATACTCTGCACCCACAAAAAAGGCACAAAAACTTCGGCCAAGTTTGAACGAGGGCGATAGTGTCCCATTCCTGAACCTCGACGATATCATTTGGAGGTGAAAGTTCGTAACACAGAGGAAGCCTGCCTTCTTCACATTCGTGCCCACATGCACCACACAACTAAAGGGAAAACAAGATGCAACACAGAACGTGCAAACATGCAGGACGCAGCAAGACGCCACACAAATCGAGAAGTACTCACGTAACCAGCATGCGCAGAGGGCGGAGCACAGCGGCAAACGACAGCGCGCGCCTCGAAGGACAGCGTGATAATCACCGGCTCCTCCATAGCAGCCAGAGAAGGGATAAAAACCGGCAAACAAGCAGAGACGCCTCGAAACCACAATGGCGGCCCTCCGGTACGCACTCGCTACGAGGGGGACGCCGACTGAGGAGAACACCGCCGGGCCAGGCGACGCAGGGCTTGGCGACTCCGCAGCCGGCCAATCGAGACGCAAGAATACGTCAGCCGACCCAACCAGCCAACCAGAGAACGGCGCAACGACACGGACCGCAACGCGACGACGCCGGCCGGCCCGGCAACAACGACAACAAACACGCGGCGGCTAGCAACCGGCGGCCGACAGCCGACGAACAGCGCAACACGACTGCGGTGCGTCGCGCCGGGCCGCACTAGGAATCCGACGCGCGGAGTACCGCCAGACGCGGGCGCGCGCACAGGGTATACGCGCGGAGTATCGCCAGAAGCAAGCGCGCGCGCAGCAGTTCTACGCAGGGAGTATCGCCAATCCACTGAAAAATCTTGTCGTAATTTTACGACAAATTTGGACACGAATGGCTCATACTTCCCAACAAATGAATGATTCGTATTAAAACGACTAACTACATCATGAATGATTCGTTAATTTACGAGCCATTCAAAGAAAAGTGTTACAATATGCTGTATGATAATAAAAACAATTGGTTCGTATTTAAACGAAGAATTAGAGCACGAATGATTCGTTATAAAACGAAACATTCATTAGAAAATGGCTCAAAACTACACGAAAGAATTTTCCCAAATAATAACGAATGGTTCATATATTTATGAAATTTTCGTAAGTTTACGAATGGTTCGTGAATTTCAATGTGACTAAGAATCAGTCTTGAAGGAGATGGACATGCTTATTGAGGTTAATCATACTTACAAATTGGGCATAATCTACTGCTCAGAGGGATGTCTAGAGACTGTGGAGGCCTTGGGAGGCCTAGAGTGAGGAGATCTGTAGTCTTGCATAAAGGATGTGTAAGGACTCACTGTTTCACTGTGTCACTGTTCCATTGTTGTACTAGCACTTCACTCAACTACCTTGACTCTTATTTTCCGTTAAAGAGTCCCGCTGGCTTTGTCTTTCCAGCTGCAGTTAGTAGGCATGCAGCAACACGTCAGGCTTTGATTTCACACAGCCCGTGGGTTCACAACATTCACAACAAAAACGATGATTTGAAGTGTAGCACACAATAAGGATAACTATAAAAAGACGAAACGGGAAAACACAACAGCAACTTCAACGAACTAATTGTCCAATGATGATTAGACGCCACCTACAAAATTTCACTTGCAATACTGTTTCTGCTACATGTAAACAAACAAACGAATGTCCCTTTCGCAAGGAGTAACGGCAAGAGTATGAAAAATTAGTCAGCACTTTTCTATTTCTGTTTTACTTTGATAACTAGTTTGCACAAACAATTGTTAGTAAAATACGAAAACCTATCAGTATTTTGTACAATTATTATTGATCCGTTAATATTTGAATATTTGTCAGCACAGTCGGTCTTCTTTGTCTTTGTGTGCCATAAACATTCTAAAACCTTGAGTATGAAAAATAAAGCTGCAGTATACTTTGCTGTCTGCTTTAGCTGTACACACTTAGTTGTTTTTGTTTTGAAAACATTCGAGCCCGGTTAGCCTGTGTTGAACTATTTTTATCAGAATTGTAAAGCTTTGTTACTTTGCCTCTTTTTGATTCCTTTCTATTTTGTCACAGTGCTACATATTTTGTATGCCTTGTATACCTTCTGTGAATCTCTCAATTATTCATGGAGTTGTGGCTCTTAACCTCCTTAGACTGTACATTTTGTGATTTCTTTTAAGTCCTGCTTCTATTTTTGCTGTAGGATGTAAGTGTTTTTCTTTGAGAAATGTGTCAGCCTTTGTTTAGTTTTTATTATCAGCACATTCACCAAGTAAAATGAGCTGCAAGTAACATTTGAAGTATGCCCAACATGGTTCACTTTCTCTTTCGGTTTGTCAATTCTTTCTTTTACAGATGTAATTATTGTGGAGAACTGTGGAACTGAATCCGAGTAGTTGACAAGTTTCATGGCGTCATCAGTAAAATATACAGCGGCTTCTTATGCCTTGAAATATTTTCAAATCAGGTGGAGCCAGTAGAAGAACAGACCAATTGTTCAATACTGGTGAATTTCGTAAGTTTATTGTTCTTATTAAAGTTTATAATGTCTCAGATTTACTTCAAAGGATATAATGCTGGTGAATTACATAAGTTTATTGTTGTTAGTACTGTTTATAACTTGTCATATTTACTTTTAAGGATACAAGTCTACCAGCCAGCAATGATAAGACTGACGCATCTATATTGTGATGTGCACAGTCTACAAATGAACAGTGAGGCAGCTGCTTGTAACTTTTTGATAATGATTAGCTTATTTCATATTTATCTTATCATCAGCTGCTTGTAATTTGATTGATAATAATTCACTAATTAGATTTACCAGCTGCTTGTAAATTGTTTGATATTAATCTACTTTTTTGATTTCATATAATACCATTATGTGATGTCTAATCTTCCTCTGAAGACTCCCCTTCTCTTGCCTGCAGGTGGTCATTTAACTTCTTCAACAGCCGAGATATTAATGGATGAGTGGGTGTTGTAGAAAAGTTGCCACCCTCATCCCTTGAAGTTGGCCTCTTGTGACCCTTTTCTGGACTGTGCTTGAAAATGCATCTGTTCAAGAAAAGTTAAAGACACTGCTTAATTTCATGGTTAGTACTTTTTTAAGTTTTGATACTTTTAAATTCAAACCCATACCTTTGTATGAATTCCATGGTCGCCTGACATCCGGCAGGATAGTTCAAATTAAAAATAAAATAGGGCATGTAGATGCAACATATTGTTTGAACCACATTGGTGTGGGAGGACAGAAAGCGTTGGTCAATAGTTAATAAGAACTTGCGAGCTGCCAAAAGTGATTCTCCTGGAAAATATGAAGATGTTATAAAAATATATTTTAATTTCCTCCTCTTTGAATTAATACCAAATGATAACTTTACCTGTGGCTAGCAGATGAGGGGCTGGCTGCAAAGTGGTTGTATCATAATTTGCTAGGTCAATTTCCTCCTGTAAAGAACAATAATTTGACAATATAAAACTGTTATCAAAGGAAATTTAAAACAGTATTATTTTAAACAGCTTACTTTATCCAGAGTGATGAGGCAGTTAATATCTTCTTTAAACTCAACAGCAACCATCCAAATTAGAGCTAGTAACTTTGAAAATTCTTCATTGCATCCTTCCTTGCCAAGTTGTCTGTTAAGCTTTCTATTAATACTTTGGATTACTAAGTTGTGGCTGGTTGCAAAGAACTGTAACATTTTGTCCCTCTCCTGATTGCAAAATTCATCCAATACTTTTGATACATTTATATCTGTAAGAAGCTCATGGTGGAGCTCCATACCAACAAAACAAAACAAGTAGGGAAATTCTTTTTTGATGAGAGCAATTGTAATCAAGGGCTCATCAGATTCTTCTTGTTGCTCATCTGCAGCCTGTCTTCCCCTACTTCTTCTTACTCTTTGATTTAGTAGAGCTGCTTTCACATTTGAATTAATAAGATCTCGTTGGTGTTTATATGTTACTGTCATCAAGTCTTTGATTTCCCTGGGACTGGCTGCAGCGTTTGTTCTTCTGTTTTGGAAGTGCTTTTGCAATAATACCTTTTTTGCTTCCAGGCTTTCTTGATCCTCACCTTCCGGATAGTCAACCACTTCCCATCTGACACACCCGTATGCTTCTTTGATAGGAGGACGCTCCACCTCCATCCTTGTTGGGGTTCTGTTGGATGTTTTCTTATTCTTGTCATTATCGAACTTGTCCTTCATTTGTTTAAGGATTCCTCCAGTGATTTTAACAGCACACCCTTCCTTGCCTGCTACTCCAAGAGTTTCTTGGAAAGACTGTTCATGCTTCGTGATCATTTGTTCCTGGTAAATTGTATTGAAAGTTTTTCTAGTCGCCCCTGGAACCTTGTGTCTTACTTGTTTTACGACTTCAGCAACAATAGCTATTCGATCTGCAGGAGTCAGCCGCATTCCTCTCTCCAACTTTCTTTTCAGACCAACTTCTGATTCGTAGATTGCGTTCCAGTTGAGGCGGAAATTCATTAGTGCCCTGCTCTGTACTCCACCAGAAGTTGTGGCGCTCTCCTGGTTTTCTGAAGATTGAGATGTGGCGGAGGCAGAAGACTGAGATGTAGCAGAAGCAGAAGCTTGGTTCTGTTGTTCCTGAACGTTTACTGTAAGCAGGAGTTAACGCACATTAAACACTGATGCCAAGTTACTTGAGCAGTGGATACATAAATGCATTTGTTCTCACCGACAGGCTTCCAGGCGTCTAGAAGAGTTCTGGCCTCAAAGATGTTAAGACCAGCTCCAGTGAGATCCTGCTCCCTCACTCTACATAGATACTTCAACCTCTTTAGACCTTGGTTATGGAGAGCCTTTGCTGCTTCGGTAGCTTCTGATTCACCGATGTCCTCACATCCCTGCATTATTTGCTCTTTGAGCTGCTCCATTGTCAAGCTGTCATCCATCTGGAGGAAGAGAATAGAAATTGAAGGTAAGCCAATTCTATCTTGTGCTATGATACTTGTTATTTATGACATCTGGACTTATCTGACACCTGAACCAAGGCCTGACAGTGGGCCAGAAGATCGCTGGAGGCGGCTAAAACTCTAGAGGCGTTTTGAGCTCCAGAGTCACTGGACAGGACTCGAACCAAACGTGTGACCCCACCAATAAATTCCTCGTTCGGAGAGCAATCCATTGGTGGGGCCACACGTTCGATTCTAGTCCCATTTAGCGACACTGGAGCTCAAAACGCGTCTAGAGTTTTGGCTGCCTCCACCGGTCTTCTGGCCCACTGTGTGGAGGGTGGCTTGGGCCCAAGGGCTTGCTCCAGAGTCTACAGTTACATCACTAACTAAGTAACTCTTCCTGAGCTCACAAACGCTTGAATTTTAGTGGCTTTGTACATTGTTTCTCTCACCTTGATTTTCCAGAAGTTAAGATTAGTCAACTACAAAGCCTGCAAGCTTTCAAATTTCAAAGTATCCGCAGTCCTGCCCGTGCCTCGCTGCCGGTCGAACGTCCAATCACGTTGCGCGGAGTGCCGAGCCGAGCCGAAGCCGAAGGCGAACCGAAGGCGAGCCGAGCCCGCCCGACGCCACCCGACGCCACCCGACGCCAAGCCGAACCAAATCGAGTTTCAACCAGTCAGCCTAAAAGACTTTGCCTGATGCTGGTTCTGTTTTTGTCTTAGAAACTAGACTTCATTGTGCTTTGGAAGGTAATTTTTTTATTATCACCTAATCCCTGTCTCTCCTCGTCGAAGGAAACATCACTTTCCTTTTGGTTCGATGTAATAGCTTCTTGTTTTCGCAATTCATTTCTACTGAAGTGGCATTCCCTATTCTAACCTATGCGAATCAGTGTTTTACAAACAAAAACAGTCCTAAACTTGTTTTAAGTCCTAATATAAAGCAGCAAAGAATTCAAAATTAATTAAATTTAAGCTTTCTGTGCAAACTCATCTATTTTTGTGTCAGTTGATGCCATAACCTATAAAGAATGAGCCACAGTAGTTACTTCTGTTATTGTTTTCTTGGATCGCTCCAATTTAGTGCTTTATTTTATGCCAGAGTCTTATCTTTAGTCTATTTCTTGCCTGTGGACACTTAAACAAAGGCATACTACTTTGTTTGAATCTTTTCTACTTATGAAACTGATTTTTCTGTTTTTCTACTCTTAGCTTGCAATGGATCGAGAACCTTGAATCTAACTCTGCCGCCACTGGTGCTCCATGCTCTGCAAATTCTGCACTCCTTAAGAGGTTAGGGTTTATCCATAGTCTATGTTTTTCTTTTCATTTTTAATTGAAGTTAAATGTCTGACTTTTCTTTTCTTTCCTCAGGCTTTAAACAGTCAAAACTCACATGAACAGTGGTGACAACCAAGACTCCAAGCCAGCAGAGAGACTCTAATTTTGTGTGATCTTACCCATTTGCTTCTCGGATTCTGACATTGGGCTGACTCGTGCAGTACGTTGACCTGTCCTCTCTGATGCAGGTATAGATTTGAAAGAACTCTATTGGTCTTGTATTTAATAATACTGTACTTTTCTTTCTATTTTCAGTCTCTCTATTGTTCAAGTTCTCATCAATATTAGTACCATCTGCAGCTCCTCCCCGATAAAGAGATTGAAGCCTTGAGTTGGATCAGTATACCCTGGAGACTTGCATTTCATACTCATCAGTGCTTTTTATTTAAGGTAAAGTAGTTAGAACGTTTTCCTTTTTTTAAATTCCTATCTTTAACTTGAATACTATGCCAGACTGCTTTTCTTTTCTTATTCAGGCTTAAAATTGTCAAAAGTCACATGCACAGTTGTGACAACCAAGACTCCAAGCCAGCAGAGAGACTCTAATTTTGTGTGATCTTACCCATTTGCTTCTCGGATTCTGACATTGGGCTGACTCGTGCAGTACGTTGACCTGTCCTCTCTGATGCAGGTATAGATTTGAAAGAACTCTATTGGTCTTGTATTTAATAATACTGTACTTTTCTTTCTATTTTCAGTCTCTCTATTGTTCAAGTTCTCATCAATATTAGTACCATCTGCAGCTCCTCCCCGATAAAGAGATTGAAGTCTTGAGTTGGATCAGGAGACTTGCATTTCATACTCATCAGTGCTTTTTATATAAGGTAAAGTATTTAGAGTGTTTTCCCTTTTTTAAATTCCTATCTTTAACTTGAATACTATGCCAGACTGCTTTTCTTTTCTTTTTCAGGCTCTAAAAATGGTCAACATACCCACAGCCACAGTAGCACCATCAACAACATTTGACCAGCAAATGAGCTAAAAACTCAAGTTTTTGTACTTTTTTTGTATTGCCTGTGGATGTATTTACCAATAGGTTTGTAGATATAACTACATTCTTTAAACATTTTCACTCCTAAAAGTTTATTTGGTGTTTTTATTTGTTTTTTTTTTTTCTCTTCCAGAAATATGGCTTCTTTTGAATGCACAAGTTGTAGCAAAACGTTTGAAACTTTGGGGAAACATTCTTATCATCAACGTGTTCATGCAAATGAGAAGAACTTTCTGTTCACTTGTGGTGTTGAAGCCTGCTCCCAGCAGTTTGGAACATATGGTGCTCTGAATACACATCTGCATCGTTGTCATAATGACTTCAAAACAGTTGAAGTGCCCCAACCAGGAAATCTTCAGTGCTCTGTTGATACGTGCACATCATTGTTTGCCTGTGACAAGGACCTTTGTTATCATATTTTAAGAGAGCATAACAGGAAGGGTGAAGCAGTGAAATGCCCTCTCTCTAAAAAATGTCACAGTGAGTCTCTTCTTGTCAATTTCCAGTCTCACTTGAGCAAATATCACAGAGGCTGGAACACTATCAATTCTGGGCCACTAGAATCTGCTTTGAATCTTGATAATGCTGATTTTGAAGACAGTCTATCTGAGAGAAGAACCGAAGATGCCCCTCCCATCAACAACCCAACATTTGATCAGGATTCAGATCAGGACCCAGAAGTGACATTTGCCGAAGAAGAACATCATAATAAGCAGGACGTAATTCACAATCTGGCAAAGTTTTATCTCAGGATGGAAAGTGAATTTATTTTGCCAGAATCAACAGTGCAGGCTATGAGTGAAGGTTTGTCTGGTTTGCAAGAACAAAATTTATTGCTTATTAAGGCCAGACTCATGCATGAACTGCAATCACTTGATTTGGAACCTGATGTATTATCTGGTATTGTTAATAGAGTCATGTATGCAGACGCATTATATTCAGCTCATGACAAAAGTATTGCACCTGGTCCATGGCTCTCTACCAATGCTCTACGCAAGGCATACTACAAGAAATATTTTAGATACATTGCACCAGTGGAAAACGACTTGTCTTTTGACCGTCCAGATCCAACATTTGTGTACTATGTACCTGTTGAAGAATCCTTGAAAATTATGTTGGAGTGTCCATCCGTGCAAAAAGAAGTTGATAAAAGTTTCCAAAGAACACCCAGTGAAAATATTATACGTGATTACTATGATGGTTTGGTGTATCTACAAAGGAAGAGGGAAAGACCTGAGAAGACAATAGATCTTTTCATATTCCAAGATGCTTTCAAGCCAACAAATGATGCCTCTCCTGTAGCATCCAAACACAGCACCCTTGGAGTATACTTTTCTCTTGGTAATTTAGACCCACGCCATCGGACTGACTTGGATTCTATTCAGCTTCTGATGGTGCTCCCAAAATACAAGAAACTTTTTAAGGATGATGTGTTGCGTAAACGCTGTTTTGAAGTACTTGTTGAAGATCTGAAGAAACTGGAAACTGATGGCATTGCATATAAAGGGCAGAAGTATCCAGTAAACCTAGTGTTCCTGATTGGTGACAATTTAGGGCAGCATGAGATTGGCGGCTTTATTGGTTCTTTCTCCGCTGAATATTTTTGTAGGTATTGTCCAATCACAAGGACTAAGTATGCTGAAGAACCATGGGCCACAGAACCATTTAGAACTAAGGAGGAGTATGAAGAAGATATGCAAACAGCAACTCGACTGCACGAGGAAGATCCAGATAGAGTGCACTACAGAGGAGTGAAACCTGACAAATTCAAGTGCCCTTTTAATGCCTTGGAGAACTTTCATGTATGTGATCCTGCTCTGGCCCCCTGCATAGCGCATGACATACTGTCCGGTGTTCTAGCTCAAGATTTACCAGTGATCATAAACCATTTTGTTGAGGAAGGGTGGGTATCCTACCCTCGCTTGAATGGCTTGTTGGAAAACTTAAAATTGAAGGGAACAGACGCAAACAACAAACCATCTGGAATTCCTTTTAATGGAACCACTCTGAGTGGAAATGCAGTTCAAAATTGGACTCTGCTCCGTCTCTTGCCATTCATCTTCAAGAAAAAGAAGATAAAGAATACTAAGGACCCATACTGGCTTTTGTACTTATCGCTCAAAGAAATCTGCGAATATTTGTTTGCTCCCTCCCACTTGCTTGATCAAGTTGCCTATTTGAAAAGTGCCATTGAGAATTACCAGAGTGACCGTGCAATTCTTGGGTTCCGAAGGCCAAAAGGACATTTTCTAGGCCATCTGGCTGATTTGATAATACTTCTAGGGCCACTTATTCTTCTATGGACTCTGAGGTAGGTTTTTTTTGTTTGTTTTTGATTTTTTGCAGTGTGTACTGTTTGCTCACTTAATGTTCCGGTTTGTTGTTATAATGTGGTGAATGTTTCCTTGCAGGTTTGAGGGCATTCATTCCTTCTTCAGAAGTGTCTCAAGAGCCAGTCACAATTTTGTGAATCCTGGTAAAACAATGACCAACAAGCACTGCCTCTACTTGGCATATATGTCTGCTGGAACATTCTTCCAAGATGGTATTATTGATCCAAAAGTCTCTGGCAAGTTGAATTATGAGTCCTTTCTTGAGGCTGAGACAGCAAATGTGCTGCTGGAGCAAAATTTTTCTGATGCAGCAGAAATATTGGAATCAGTGGTTGTGAATGGAATCAAATACAAGAGAGACAAATGGACAGGATGGCTCCTACTTGGCAACCTAGATGAAGTAAATATTCACATTGGGAAAATATGCTGCATCGTATGTGACAAGAATCAAATCACAATTTTACTGAAGACCTACATTGGAAGGCTGCTTAATGAGTATGGCATTTATGAGATCAGCAACACAGTTCTGAAACAAGTATGTGTGTCTCCTCTAAATTTGAAGAGCCCTTGTCTGCAAACTGTATATTCATTTGGTGGGAGAAAATGTTTTTCTCTGAAACACACTCTGTCACATGACAGTGACTACTTTGATTAAAGGTAGGTAATGTTTTTACTTTAACTTTTCTTTCTTACCTTAAATGCATGCAGAAGTGAGCATGGCATGCTTCATTTCCCTTCTGTTATTTGTGCACAAAATAAAGCAGGACATTCATTGTTAAAAATTTTTTTTACCGGGTGGTGTCACAGTGTTGGTCACAGGAACGTGGTATCGGTCTTCTCCTTACACATTTGAATTTGACATGTTCCTTGTGTCCACAACACTAGTTCAAGAGGGTGTGTTGCATTGCTACTGTCCAGGTTTGTCTTGCACTTACTTTCTTATCCAATTAATAACTACCAAAATATGGCATTGCCCACAGTAATCATTCTTTCCTATTTTAGCTCATGTTGTTGGTTCCAAGTTCCTTGCGATGCTCACATCCAATTCTGTGATGTTTGATTTATTAAGAAGCGTCCAAGAATCCTCCAGAGGCTGTACTCCAAGATCATAAGTATGATACTGCTGACTCCGATTCTTCGCTCAAACCTATCCTACTTCAAAGACCGGAGGCAGTAAGCCAACGGCTCCACATCAAACAAGAACAAAGCGATGATTGTTCACACCTAGTGAGTTTCTTGCTTCTAATTTGAAAATAAATTTCAGGGCTTTAGGTTACTTAATCTTGTCATTTCTTTTTGCCTTAGATGGAAATCATAGGTGACTTGGAGGAGAGGCTGGTAGCACAACGCAGACAGATGTCATCTGCTCAGTGGAAGGATTTTGATATCCCGTTCCTTACAAACCATCACAATAAGGCACTTCTACATCTTGCAGCAGCATTCATTGGCAAGAAGAAAATTCATCTCTAATTTTAGAAAATTGATTGATTATCGAAAGATGAAGTTGGATTCACTCCTTTGGTAAGAAGCATTCTCAAAACTATCTTGTGTTGTTCTGTTCTTATTCGATAATAAGGGAGTGTGGTTCATTGATTTCTTTTTAACATTTGCGAAGGGCATTGATATCGAACCTTTAACTTACAAGGTAATTTGTGCTTTTACAGATGTGATCCTCGTCTATAGATCATAATGATGCTGCCTCGGCTCTTTTTGATGGAATCACTCTGCATTGGATTAAGTGAACATCCTTAATCAAAGTGCTCCAGATGTTGCAAGATTTTCTGGTTTTAGCTTTGGAAGTTACTAAGTTTGAGAATGAATATTTTAAGTTATGCTCCCATGAAGCCAACCAAAGTTACTTTTATTTGTGTAAGTGATCCAGCTCTTCTCATTTCTTTTTCTTTTCTTCTTTATATTTTATTTCACACTATTTTATGTGGGCTGGTATGTGTACACCTTATCATTCTCTGTTTTCCCTTTACCTTTTTGTTACAGTGATGTGCTGTCACTTCTCTCTCCTCATCTCCTTCTCCTGCGCTTTCACCCTGCAGCTCAATTGTCTCAATGCAATCATCTGCAGCGTCAACTACTGCATCGCTGGGGCAGGTGTTTCACAGGGCAGCTTGTTGGATACTAATTTATGGGCATCATTGTCATCATCTAGGTCTCATAATGGAGTTTTCTTTACTTGAAGTGAGAGGCAAAAAATCAAGTAAGAACTACACTTATCTGAATAAACTTTCTTGCTTCTCTCCAGCAGTCAAAATGAATGGACCCTTTTTAATTCTCCGGCATAAATTTAGAGCTCCCAGTGAACAATCCACGCTCCACATTCAAGTGCCATGCTTAATAAGTTAAATGCTTTATCTAGTATGAGTTCCGGATGAGGACTTGGAAAGTGCTGTAGGTCAGTCCTGTGCCATTTAACACGGCTGATCATGTCATTCTTTTCATGTAGTTTTCTTTTCTTTTTTGATGTAAGAAATACAACTTTTACCATGCGAAGGAGTTAAAGCATTGAGTTATTGCTCTAAGATGGGAATCGGATTCAGACTCTGGGGAAACATGCAATATGTATTCTTCATTTAAATTCTATGTTTCAAGAGATGCTTTATTGCCTTATTTTTAACTTCAAGTGATATGTGATACTACCCCGTAAACAAAACTAGTACATGTCTGGAATCCGACGTCTTTCGGACGTCCCGAAGAAGTCGGTTTTGGGAGCTCTTCGGGACCTCCCTAAACGTACTACAAATGAAGCTCTCTCGTACGTCGCGCGGGGACCTAGTGTGTGGTGCCAGAGTTTGCCGCCAGAGCGCGCCCTGGTCGCTCGTCCCAAAGTAGTCGGTTCTTGGAGCACTTCGGGACCTCCGAAACGGTAGGTCTATGTGAGGTCTTTGGGAGGTCCCCCACCACACCCGTCGCAGCGTCCTGCGGCCATGTAGTTCCGAGTGTGTCCGCTAGAGCGCGCCTCGGGCCCACGCGATGCTCACCTGTTGTGCAGATGACAGTCGGCGCACTTTGGCGCGCACTGTGCTTGTGGCGTCGGATCCTTACTTCTATTTATTTTTCTGTTAACTATAGTAAATTCATTTCTCCAAAGAAAAGAAACCACGCACGAAGATGTTCAGTTCTCAGGTGCACCAATAAGAAGAATACTTCAAAGCCTGGTGCAGGCTTATTTCGTGTTTCAATCCAAATCAGAAAGTGCCGGTGTAAGTTAACCTACAATATTCTGTTACTTTGATACTATTATTGTCAAAGTGTTTATTTTGTTCGTCATCTGATTTTATGCTTGAGAAATAGGCTCTTTGCGGAAACCTTGACCCACGGAGTTGCCCAAGATTGTGGAACGATAACCTGCACCACTATGCAATTACATGTGGAACAAGAACTGACTCCTGTGCTTCAGTGTCAAATTAAGTGAATTTCCTGCGACAGAGCAAAGTAAGCATGACACCTTGGAATCAGTGCTAATTGAATTTCTTTCAGTCATTTTGGCTTTTTTTTTAATCAAGGGGTGTTACAGTTATGGTTGCTGTATTTTCTTTTCAGTCCAACTGAGATTCCTCTTTTAAATATTTTGTTTTTGAGTCCTGTCCACCATTTTTGTCTCCATATTTTCTGTTGTTCGTGACAAGTCCTATCGTTTGATTTTTAATTTAAAAAGGTCAGTGAATAAATACATTTTTCCTAACAGTTTATCTGTGTCATATTCACATCCCTATACGCATTCACATTCATATCCGGAACAGTGGCGCACCCTAGCGGCAGGCCATCGAACTACGACACAGGTGCGCGCTCTAGCGGTCACCTTCGGAACTACATGGCCGCAGGGCGCTGCGACGGGTGGTGGGGGACCTCCGAAAGACCTCTCACAGACCTACCGTTTCCGACGTCCCGAAGTGCTCCCGAAAGAGACGTCCTGAAATGTAGCACGGCAGTACTTCTTTTGGATGCCTTTTTTGTTTCATAAGGTACTCCTTCCGTACTACATTTTGGGATGTACAGAGCTCCGAAATGGTAGTACGACAGTACTACTTTTGATAGTAGTTTTGTTTACGGGGTACTTTTCTTCTCTTTTACAGGCTTTAAATGGATGATGCTTACACTCAATTTTGACGATTGCAACTCTTGGCCAGCAAAGAGACAAAAATATTGAGTTAACTTACCCATTTGGGCTTTTGATTCAGGTACTGAGCTGACTCCTACCGCAAATTGATTTGTGGTCTCTAGAACTGGTAAGGTTTTCAGAAGGCTTGCATTGGCTTTATTATTTTTGTGAGGTCAGTAAAATATGACTAACTTTTTTTTCTTCTTTTTTTCCAGCCCACTGTTTTTGATGCCCATGCCAACAGTTGTAAGAATTACACCTTTCAGCCCCCAAAGGAGGTAAAATATTCAGTTATTATACAAAGGTATAGGATAAGGATTCAGACACTGTTCTTTTAGCTCTTATTTGTGTGCTTTCCATGTCAGGTAAGATAGTTGCAACTTTTTTTAAAAAAATCCTCATCCTCTAAATATTATGCCTGCTAAGTTATTTTTTTCTTTTACAGGCTTTATATGGTTGAAGCCCATGGCCTCAGCTGAGACAACTTTAGAACACTTAGGCAGAGGAGGGACTTAAAGCTGGAATTTATTTCTGATGTTGGGACTTTGATTTGGGAGGCTAGCACTGTATTTATTATTTCTTCTCCGCATTCATTAATAGGTAAGTTTTTCTGGTCTTGGTTTTTTTTTAATTAAATAAATAAATTTTACGTGTTTTTTTTTCAAAACTTTTTGTTGTTTTTGTCTGATTGCAAAGGTTATTTTGAACTACATGTGCAAGAACTCTTCATCTGCTACGAGATGCTCCACTGTTTGATATGGATTTTAGTAAGCAGCGGAGAAAATGGAAAGCAGACACTAGATAGCATGCAATAAGGGATATGTTCTTGTTGATAATGCATTACATGCAAGGTAAGTGACTGCTTTGTTGAATACTTTGTTTTCATATTCATTTTTAATTTTGATCTAATAGCAGCTATTTTTTACAGGTGGAAAGCGAAGAAAAGCGTGCAGTTGATGCAGTGATGGGGAAAGCACCTCCACAAGCGGCAAGGCGACAAGAAGCTTCAACAGCAGCACATCATGCACACACACCTGTGAATCAAAAGAAGGAAAAACATGATTATCAAACATCAATTATGTTGCAAGGCATCATTATTGAACGACTGCAGCCAACACAAGATTCAAGATTTGGCTTCAAGACTGTGTGCGTGTGTGTGTGGACTTGTGTCATTGTTGTCATTATTCTACTTCAATCTTAACTTATGTTCCGGTATTATAGGGTGCATTTTTCCTACCTGATTCCTATTTGGAGGGTTGAAAGGTGACCGCCTGATGACCATTTTGATACTCGTGCACCCACTGGTTTTTATTTTTGTTCTTTAAATTTTTGGCCAGGGTAAAGTGGTCTGACCACATTTCTTTGAATAGAAATCAGTTTGCCCTGGCTCACTCTTGGGAAGAGATCAAGATTCCGACTTTAGAGAGTGAGCCAAAGCAACTTGATTTCTATTCAAAGAGGTGATCAAGCCACTTAGCTCTGGACATAAATTTAAAAGAAATATGTATCTAGTTGATGCTGGAGTATCAAAACGGTTGTCAGGCGGTCACCTTTCAACCCTCCAGAGAGGAATCTGGTTGACAAGACCTATTGTACATGTTTGCTTCTCCATGATTCAGAAACAATAAAAATGTGAAAAATGACTGTTGACTGTTAAAATTATGACACCCTTGCATTTCCACGAACCATTCGTTCTAAGATGATCTTTTCGTAATTTTATGAGCCATTCGTATTGTAAAGGAACGAATCATTCGTAGTTAAACGAATAACTCGTAATCATGCAGGATAAATTTTGAGCCAACTTTTTGCTCTATTTCAGCATTTTATAAATTGGAGGTATTTTACGAATCATTCGTACATTTATGAGTCATTCATATGGAAGAGTTTACGAGCCATTCATGTATACAATTTTCCCATAAATAATTCGTAACTTTACGACAAAAGTTTTTCCAGTGTCGCGAACCCGAATAAAACCACAATAAACATTGTAAACCCGACTGTACAGACACGGAAAGAAGTAAAACTATTATAAATGCTTCGCATTTCCTTCATTCGGAGAGGAGTGAGAGTACAAACAGAGCTTAGCAACTAAAAAGTCCAAATTCACAGAACCACTGCCGACTTGGCGCGCGCCCAGCGAGCCAAAATGATCTTCATCATGATGAACATCGCCTTCTTGGCCATCGTCGCTGCACTAATGGTGCACTACTTCATGAAACAACGTCGCCCGATGGCCCCAATTATCTACCTGGAAGGAAACATCGCAGCCGGAAAATCGACTCTTGCAGCCAACCTCAAGAGATTGGAGCTTTTCCCAGTACTGGACGAGCCCGTCAGGGATTGGCAGGACGTGGAAGGACACAACTTGCTAGAACTTCTCTACACCGACCGGGCCACTTGGAGCTACCCCTTCCAAGTACTCGCACTAGCCACGCTTGGCCGCCGCCAAACTAGCTTGCTGGCCAACCACCCAGAAGGGCTGACTGTCCTGGAGCGCTCGCCCCAGTGCTCACTAAGAGTGTTCGCTCAAGCCCTCGCCGAGATGAACGCCATCGGCCAAGAACACATGGCCATTCTACGAATCCTGCGCGACGCCGTCGCCCCGCCCACTCAGCGGCCGATTCACTACATCTACGTACGCACGCCCCCGGCCATAGCGTACCAACGACTAAACCGCAGAGGCCGCACAGAGGAAGCAGGTGTCACTGTCGAGTACCTCACCACCCTGCTACACGACCTGACCGACGCCTGGCTGCTGCGAGAGGAAGCCAACCCAGTTCACGTCCTGGATGGAACGCTCACCCCTGAGCAACTGCTAGCAGCCGCCCTGGACATTATCCAGGACCTGAGAGATGACGTCACGCAGGCCCAGGAGCCCCAGCCCATACGCGAGGAGTAATTCCATAAGGCGGAACATCCCAACTTCACGCGGTGTTGCAAATCGTGACGACGGTTGTAACATCCGTTTGGAGCTGTTGGAGTCTACCTGGCGTCCGAGATGTTAAAGCCCAACTATTCTTTATTTTTCTTTTTTTAACAACAAGCCGACCCGCGGGCTTAGGACTGGACACCCTAACGCCTGGCACCCAGAAGGTGTAATGGGGGAGCGAGCCTTTGTAGCATCACATCAAGACAGCGAGCAGTCGTCATCAACTCAAGAAAGAAAAACTTAAGAAATTATCAAAATTGGACATTTAATCAGACTTAAAAATTGTGCTAAATTGAGTGAGAGAGTGGGAAGATAGTTCAAAAATTTTTAAAACCCAAAACGTCAATTTAAGTCAGCGTTCTAAGTAAAGATCTGGGGAAAAGGGGGTACGAGGAAAATTTTGAGAAACTTCGTTTTTTTTCATTCAGGAGGGAGTGGTGTTATGATATGAAACAATAGAGAACATAACCAAAGCACGGCCTCTAGACGGTCATTCCCCAGTTTTCTAACCACTGCCCTAGTGATCCTGGCCAGGACCTCAACCCTCCTTCTTTTTGTTCTTCCCTCAAATACCCTGGTTCCTAAATCCCATTGGCCATGCACCCCCACTCTCCACCACACTGTTCTTCCCTATGTTCTTCTGCATCTGTAATATAAAGGCGCGCTGTCTGGCGCCAGCTACCATTCTGTACACGGTCACCTTGTTGATAATACAGAAGCTTCCGTCTCCACGAGACCTTCGACTACCCTTTCCCTCCAAGTCCCTTACACTGCCACACTATAACAGTGGGTTGCCGGGATTTAGGTGATTGCGGTGGGGGAGGTGGTGGAGGGGGTGGTGTCTATTGTGAATTTTTTATAGTAATTAGTGTTTTTAAGTAATGTTTTAAATTTATAATTATTTAATGATTTTTATACTTACTCTGAAAGTTGCAATTAGTGGAGACTTTTATTGATAGTTGTTGATTGGACATTCTGAGTGGTTTTGGTTGTTGAATTTTCAACTGGTTCATTTGACTTTGTAGTTCATTTGTAACTTCTTCATTGCAATCAGGAGTGGTATGGTGAAGCAAAACTTGTCTGTTCATGAAAACCCGAGTATTGAAACTTCGGTTATTGCTTTGTTCTTGAATGATATTTTCCATTATTTGTTCAGGTATATTATGAATGATATTTTGATTTCTATCATCACTTTGTGTATTACGATCTCTTTGCTGTATTGGAATTATATTGTTTAGAAAAAAATTATCATTGGAATTATATATAATGTATTGTTGTAATTATTTTCAATGTTACTTACAATTGGAGTTTCATGGTTTTGTACAGAAACGACATTTCTATTATTGTTGTAGTCAGAATATTGTGGTTCATCTTGCGTTTCTTGTGAGTATTGATCATTGTAATTGTTCTCATTGTCTCCATTGGAGTGTGTGGTTGATGATGAAATGTCCTGAAAGAAAGAAGTTTATCAATTGTGCTGTGAATAGGAATTATGTTATTTTTATCTATTAAATTTATTTACAATGAGATTGTTTTCATTTCTGAATGAACTGGAACCTCCATTATTATCATTATTTCGATAAAGTCTTCTTCTGTGGTAGGGCCTTCCTCTCTGGGTAGCATTCAGTCTTCTTGCGAAATTGGAAAGTTGGTAAATATTACCTTCAAGAGTGAAAACTGTGAGTTTCGGCATCTTCAAATTGTTTGCTGTCACAAATGCGTTGTCATAGGAACAATGAATATTGCCCATGGTAGTGGAGTTATTTCTTTTCATATTGCTATTCTAATTTTATTGTGTTTGAATGTTAAAAGGCTGTGGTGTCAATATGAGAAATTTGTAAATGATATTGTAATATTGGTGATTGTAACTTGTAAGGAATGGAAGTTTATGTTTTTGTAAAAATCATGTAAAATTATTAACGAAAGAAGGTATTGGTTGTGTTGGGTTTGGCAGGTGAAGGGCGAAGACAACACGTTGGCTTTGGTAGAGTGTTTATTGAGGTTCAGTGCTCACAGGGCAGGGCCAGACCGCAGACTGTTGGCGGAGCTCTGGCTCGGTTGTATTTATGGGCTGGGCAACAGTGGCACTTGCCAGTGGGGTGTTCGGGGCTTGGAGTGCGACCCTGGCCAGGGAGGGTGGTCTCATAGCCATGCAGGGAAGGGGAATAAAAGAAAGAACTTGACCATCTGTTGCTTTAGTCGTTCCTCAACATCACTCCCTTCTTTAAAAATACGATTTCAAGAAATCCTAGGAGTCACGAAGTCAATTTGATCATTGTGTAAGAGTGTGGAGAAAGAAAAGAAGTGGTGTTGTGAAGTTGTGGCTCAGGGGACTACCAATGGCAGTGGTACCAATGTGGTCGATGTGCCACCCGTCGAAATTTAAACTTGACAATAGAAATCAAAATGCTGGTAAATTCAAAAAATTCCAATGCTAATGTATTCCGCAGTGTTCTAACAATGGAACATTTTTAAAATCCATCATTACTAAATGTTCGGGGCAGAAAGAAGGCAGTAAATTTATTTTCACGGGTTGGCAACTATTTTCTCGGCGTCTGCGCCCTTGCGAAAATCGCGAAGCTGAAAGCACCAGCAGTCGCGCTTTAAAACTCCCCATCCATTGTTGCTGACGTTGAATTGTTTGGCTTGTTTCAAAAGGCTGTGGTTCTCTAGTCATGTTTTCTTCAATTCTGTGTAATAGTTCTCCCTTGCAACGTATAAACACCTTGAGGGTTTGGTTTTGACAAACTTTATAAACTCGGGAGGGATGGTTTCGAAACGCGGGTGAGTCTTGTTCGAGGAACATGACCCTGCAAGTCGCGAGGTGGAGCGAAGTGGTCCTAGTGCTAACTGAATCACAACAACAAAAAAATTTTTATTGACAAAAAAAAAAAGGAATATTTGAGAAACTTTTGTCAGAAAAAAAGAACTTTTGTTTTGCTAATTTTCTGTGAATATTTTTTTAAAAAGTCATCACACAAAAATTGAAAATTTGTTTTATATGAATTTTTATAAGCAGGAAACAAAGAAAAAAAAAAGAAAGAGAGCAAAATTAATTCAGATTTAAAATGCTACATTTGGTTTAAAACTGTTAAAAGGTTGCAAACCTTCTGCGCATGTCCAAAAACATCCAATCAAGAAGTATTATTGGATAGTTCTCCCCAAAAAACTGCGTTCGAACCGACACCAATTCTATTGTTGCATCTTGTCTACCTGCAGTCAAAAAAATTTTTTCATTTCGAACGTGCTGATTTCTGCTTTGGAGTAAGCTGTACAGCCCCCAAAAAAGCTCGGCTTTGGTCCGCCCCGGCTCGGCCCCCCCACTCCCTTTTTTTCCTTTGACGAGTCGAGTTTTGCCATGGAAACGGCGTTTTTGACAGCAAATTTCTCAAAATTGGCCACCAATTTTTAAAACCAGTTTTCAGCATGAGAATCAGGTTCAAAGTTCTACAAGTCTGCAAAGTCTCATTAAAATCGATAAAAAATTTCCCGAAATGCATAAAGGGCCACACAAATTGAATCTGGGGCCGGCTGAACCTGGGTATACTATAAGGCTACTTCGTGCCCCCTAAAAGTTACACCACTCCCTTTTTTAAAAAATTTTGGCTCGTCCCCTTGTTGCCAGCCGTACATTTAGGGTTTAAAGGGATTATTTAAAAGGATTCACTGTTCTAATGCCAATCAGGCCTCTCAGGGAAAGGGGTGTCCAGTCCTTCCCTGACTCGCCTTTCATGGTAAAATAAATAAAAATAAAAGCAAAGCAAGTTGAACTTCCGTAGAGTAGGTTGTCAGTGACTCTCATGGCACTTCCTCGAGCTAGCATTAGGGAAGCTGTCCTGAGGTCCTCTGACGCGCCTGTTAAACTTTTAAAAAAAGCATAGCTACTATTAGGGGGAAAGTGATTAGTTAACAGCCGAAGGTCTCGAGGCTCAGCGTGCTGCCTCGGACAGGCTGGAGTGAAAAAGGGGTTTCTTCTATAGGTTGTCCTTGTAGTTCTAGGAGTTCTCGGCTCTGAAGTAATTCCTGAACATACACAACAGGACTGCACAAAAAAACATTCTTTCTCCCCCCTCTAGCTACAGAGGGGGGTTTTGCCTTGGTTTTTCCCTGACTAGCTAGCTAATTCCTATCTTCAAACACCATCATTTTCTAAGTAATTTAATTACATTTAAAAAGGGTAGGAATACTTAACTTTGTTTGGGGGGGGAAATTTGGGGGCCCCCTTCCCCTTTTCCCCCCTTTTGCCCCCCCGTTTTTGGTTTTTCCCCCCGGGGGTCCCCCAACCCCAAAAAAAACACCCTTCAAACCCAAGCCTGAGAACCTCCAAAAAACTTGGGGGGAACCTTTTTTGGGGGCCTTTTTAACCGTGGACCACCCAATTATTTTTTCCCCCCCCTTGTCTCCGGGAAAAAAAGGGAAGGGGAAATCCCTTGGGGGTTTGGTGAAAAATTACTGGCAGTGGCAAATTTCCGGTTCTTGAAACGGGTTTTTTCTGCCATTTTTGAATGTGTTTTTCCTACTGTTTGTTAGTAAAGTTTTTGAACACTTCCCTTTTTTAAAAACTTTCCATTGAAAAAGCTTCCCATTTTAAAAGACTTTCTTTTTCTTGAGGAAAATCGTTTTTGGGTTTGTTGGGGCAACCCCATTTAACCCGGAAAAAGGGTTTTCCGATTTTAAGGGTTTTCCCAAAAAAACCTCCTGCCTTTTAGTTAAAGGGTTAGTGAGCCCTCCTAGCCCATAAACCCCCAAAAGTTTCCGTCCCCGCGGGCAAAATCAAAGGTTTTTTGAAAAATGGGAACCTTTTTTCCCAAAAGTGAAAAAGTGGTTTAAACCCAAAGTTGCTTCTAAATGTTTTTGTTGACTTGGTCCGTCGTCTGCTTCGCCGGCAGATTTTTCGGATAATAGCAGGGTGGCCAACCCCAAACCCTCCGAGGGCGACAAAAATTTTCCCATGTCTGTTCTTGTGAGAGGCTTCTGGGCTACGGGAGCCGTCCCATTCTGCTCCTAGGCCACTGGCCTCTGTGCGTGCCTCGAACGCGTTTTCCCGGTGCGCTATCGGTCTCGGGTTGAATGACTATTGTATTGGCCGGCACCTACCGTGCCACAAATGTCAACTCTGGCCGTCCACTCCTGTGTGGTCGCACGCTTGGTTTGGCTTTTCTCGGTTGGCACCATTTCGCTCGGTCGGCTCCCAGCTTCTGGACCGCCTTTCCGCCTTCTCGCCGAGCCCCTTTTATTTAACGATCCGCGATAACCGTTCGATTTTGGGAAAGACGTTGGTGTCAACGTACGGCTTCTCGCCTCGTAATCTCTGGAGCCTTATTATTCCGTATCGCCGAGCTCTGGCTTTTCCCTAAATTATTGGCGCCATTCCGGTCATTCAGTCTGGAGTCTCGCTGGTGCGAACCACTCGTCATGCGTTGGTCGGTACGGCTTTGCTTTTCGCGGAACTCGATGCAGTTGAAGTGGGGGAGTGCATGCGTAGCGACCCACTCGATGCGGAGCCTGGATGGGCGTCAGTCCCGCCCCTCAAGCTCTCGCGTTCACACTTGTTCTGGTACACTCATCTTTGATGGGTGTCCTTTTTACCGGGGTGCACCGTCAATCAGGAAGGCAGTGTTTAGTTGGCCAGTACCGTAAGGTTCGATCTCCGGGTCGTCTTCCCGTTAAGGTGAGTGAGTTTTCTCCTTTAAATGGAGGATTTTCCTTGGATTCTAAATAAGATTCTTTTACAGGGTCACTTCGAGTGTTGTGCTTGGGCCGTTGCCACTGAGCCTAGAGCGTGGAGTTTTGTGACAAACAGTACTGTGGACGTCCATCTGATAGCTGAGCTTGCTGGACAGTACTCTACTGGCTGGTTTTGTCACTTCCGAAAAGCGTGTCCTTTCTGTCCCACTGCTCGACTTTTCAATTTCTGGGACTGCTCTTGTGGTCGCCGAGAGGAGGCTGAGGAGTCTTCTCTTTTCCTGGTTCACGAGTACTCTGCTCCGGTGTGAGGTAAGCCTCTTTTAAACGTGAGGGAAATTTCTCTTTTCAGGGTGGTAATTTTGCAGGTGTCGGTTTCCTGGGGAAGGCCTGTGTTGTCGCCCAAATGTTTGGTTGAGTACTTCTGCGGTACTCGACTGATCCTGTGCCTCTGCCTTTGACCCGTTGCCCTTTCTGTGTCCTTGACCTTTTCCTGTGTCCTTGATCCCCTTTCCTTATCCTTGATCCTTTGCCTTTTCCTTGATCCTTTGCCTTGGCCTGAATTTTTTTTTTTTTAAATTAAAAGCGTCTTTTTTCTGTCTTCCCTTTCCCCCCTTTTTTTTTTTTTTTTTTCTGTGAGTCTTTTTTTTTTTTGTGTGTGTTTGGTCTTGGATATGGGTGTCCGCAATCGGGCCATCGACCAGGAGTCGGGGCGGCAGTGTCTAGTAGGGAAGATTGGGCGCGACCTGATGGTGACGATGGATGCTATGGGCGTTCCCGATGGGGAGCCCAAATCCTGTTCGGTGAGATTTTCTTCACTCATTTGGGTTTTGAGGCTGATTTGCCCGTGGGTTTGACAGTGTAAATTTTTAGATGTGTCTGCCATGTGTCAAGTGGCAGGTGGAAAACCAAGAGTCATTCTGGGGGGGGCAAATTTTTTTGGAAGCCCCAAATCCCTGTCGCGTTCCACCGCTACGCTGAAGTGGCGCGGGGGTACGCCCGTCATGAGACCGGCTACACCAATTGGAAATCCCCTGGAAAGTGCCCTTTCTGGGGGCGTAACCC